GGCCAAGCTCGGTGAGGCTTGTGGGCCGGGTCCTGGCCTGTTGAGTTTGGTTTTATTATGCTCAGTTTTATTATGTTACAGTTTTATTCTACTCACTATCAGTTTTGTTAGCGAGTACCGCCTGCTACTCGACACATTTGGCGGTGGTACAGATTTCAAAAACCCATCAGAAAAAATGAAAAAATCCCGGATAAATATTGCCGAAAATATACCAAAATTTAGTTAAAATTTCTTATTTGTAGATTTTCCCAACAAATTCCCTTTAAACTCTGGAACGAAATTGAATTAAAGAAATGCAGAAAACATCAAAAAGTTAGCTAAAAATCAGTTCAAAGGAAGATGACTTTCTTTGGAGGCTACAGATTACGGTGTCAATCGGGAAGATTCTACATTCAGATCTGAAATGAGACAACACTGCTTAATCAAAATTATAGAAAATATTATTCAAATCACAACAATTTATTCACATAACAAACCAATAAAAGATTATCAAAATCAGAAATGTGGAGCACTTAATCCAGGATAATCTCTGAAAAAAGTTTTGTCCGTTAAAAAAACGAAGAAGAATCTCGAATAATCTTGTTAATCCAGCTGACTGATTTCAAGACATGAGCTCTACTTTTCCCCATTCTGGTATGAAGAGCTCTTCAGAAACTGATTTCGAGAAAAATATGTTTTAGACGATTTTTGAGCTCTCGCCTTCCTATCGAAAACCCCATTTGAAAATAATTTGAAAGGTGCTCGTTTTGTTTATTGAATGGTTAATTGGTTTCTTAATTGTCTTCCTGAACCTTTCAAAACTCTCCATTATTTTCAAGGTGCTCTATCAACAGAGCGCATTTTCTACCTTTTCTAATCCTGCTAAAATAAAAGAGAATCCTAATGAAGTGGTGGGTATAAAAAGAGAGAAAGAGCAGAAAAGTGCAAATAATGGAAGTCATTTCAGATGCATACCTGACCTCTTCCTCTTCTTTTTCCTGGACAACTTACTCACCTTTTTTGTGTCTCCTATTCTTGCTTTTTTTGTTCTTTCTGACTCAGTTTTCTCTTTTTAGCTGTTTTTATTCAAGTTCGAATGATCTTTAAAAACCATATTTAGCCATTTGAAATCCATTAAAAAGTTATATGGAAAATACTAGGAAACTTCCGGAAAATTGCTTTTTCGATTTCTAGAAAAATTTTGAAGTTTCTGGAAAAAAAACACCCTTTCGATTTTCTCTCTTTCAAACCTAATATTTTGAAAAGTGATCATTTTTTCAGTTCTTTGAAACTCTAAAAATTATATTACTTGTTATGATGTGATATACTTATTCAATCAACCACCTAAAATATTATTTTTATTTTCATGAAAAATAGCAAGCGGAAATTGGAAAATCGGAATAAAAAGGGTGCTAGACAACCCTAACTTTTTGTAGCGAAAGTTAGATTTTTTCCAGAAAAAAAGTGTTCTTGGTTTTGTACAGTTTTTTAGACAAAAACTTTTGAAAAACAATTTTTTAGCAGGTGAAATTGTAAATTGATTTCTACCCAGGAAAAAACAGAGTGTTAGGTTTTTTTGTGTTTTTAGGACTAAATTTTAACGATTTTTGAATTTCAAATCTTCCCGAGAAATTCCGAAAATGTTCTAAATGTCAGCCCTATATGGTCATTGTGAGCTTAGTTATCTCGGCTCCTATGAGAAATATCAACAACCTGCTTACTGATAAAATATAGGTGATATTATAGGAAGTATTAAATTTGTTGAAAACTTTTTGATATCTTTCAAAAAACCGAGATAGTTGAGCTGAAAAAAAAAGTAAGGCTGGACTCCTATTAGAGCATTTACCGTAAGAATTTGCAAGGGTTTTTTGAGTACACAATGAATTTTCAAACAGGCAAATTTTCCAGAACTTTCGGAAATTCGGACTGAATTTGAAACTACTCGGAAAAGTTCTTCTTACATTTTTTAAAAGAATCTTGCTCTTTTCAAACACAATTTTCAACACATGTTTCCTGTCAAATCACTTGTCATTTTCCTAACCACAAATCAATCTTTTCTCGCAAAAAAATCACATTTTCTCCAGAAAGATGAACTTCCAAGCACCAAGACGACATCAGTACTCAAAGGACAACAGTGAAATTGATGAGGAGCGGAGGTAAAACGAAGAATATGACAGCAAAAGATATCAAAGTGTAATACTAAATTCTCTTGGGAGCGGATGATCCATTCCACGTACTTTAGGTTGTGTCCTCCTATTCTCCTATTCTTCTCTTTCTCTTTCCGGAGAACATAATTTGGTTAGATGTCGTCTCGAAGAAATAGTATTCGAGTTTGAATGACACAGAGTAATGCACATCTTGGACAGATTGCTTTCCACCCAAATCCTTTTCTCCACCTTTTTTGTTTTTTTTGTTTCGAGTTTTTCGCATTTCTTTCCTTGTAGAAAGTTCTGTGGACAATTTTTAAGTTTTCGTAAGACATCGAAATTCTATCAAGGGATAAAATGTTTTTTTTAATATTATCAAAAATATTTTATCAGCTGATCACTTTTTGATATACTATATTGAAATCTAGATAATTGAAATACAGTTCCATTTGGGTTTCAATTTTAACTTTCACAACAAAGTTACCATAAGAAAAAGTGTGTCCCATCCGAGAAGGAGTAATGTTGTTTACAAAATTTTATGCTAAACTTGACCTANTTTTCTCAAAAATTTTTAATAATCAGTTTTTCCCAAACCATTAAAGCATTGCTCCTCTTGCAAAATATGCCATATTTGGGTCAAAGTGTTGAAATTGCTACCTTGAACTTTGAAATGAATTATCTCGGTTCCTATAAGAGGTATCAAAATCATTGAAACTGATATATTGTTTATCATAACATCACCTATATTTCAGTTGACAGTTTTTGACATCTTTCAAAGGAACCGAGATAATTGAGCTCAAAGTGCAATTAAGTGGCGACGTTCCATGCCTAATAACTTTCAACTTTGAGCCAATTCATCTCAGTTCCTGTAAAAGATATCAAAAAGTAGCTAAGAGTTAAAATATTGTCGAAATTATGATAAAAATTTTATCAATTGATCACTTCTTGATATCTTTTACAGGAAAGGAGATATATGGTCTCCAAGTTGACGGTTTGGGAAGCATACTATTTAAGTGTTTACGGTATAGGGAGAGGTGTATTAGTTTGAAATTTTTTTTGAAAATTAGCTTCAAAAAATCAGTTTGGAGGTAATCCAAAATTTTGTTTTCAGCGACAACTCGAAGATGTTCATCGCCAACAACTGTATGCCTCAATTCCGATGGGAAGACGTAAGTTCAAATTCTCTTCCTTTTTATATCTCTGAAACTCTTCAACTCACACAATATTTCTTATCACAACAAAATAGTCTCTTCGAGAGAGTCGAGAGAAATAGAAACAGGTATCAGATTTCTTTCCTCAAAGAATAAGATCAAAACTTCTCATTTTCATTCTCTTTGTGCAAAAGTGTTTAAGCACAAAAATTACTCAAGAATTACTATGAATTTTATTCGAAGATTCACGATTTCTGAGTCGTTTCATCAGGCTTTATTCCATCAAAGAGACTTTCCAGTCAGTTCTATTGTGAGTTTTTGAAAAAATTAGGGAAATTCAAAAAGTTTTTGAGCTTGATTTCTTTTAAGAAAAGATTATTAGATTTTGGAAGTTATGTCTTTGCAGGAAAATTTTGTAAAATGGATGTTTTTATTCACCAATACATCTGAGTTTAAAGAAAATGAAAAGTTCCTGAATTTCCGTTTTCTTCAAAATTGGAATTTGGGGAGCTTCAGTTTTCAAAAACTGTATTACCAAAATTATAAAAATAACGAACAGAGAAAAATGAGCAAAATCTGAATCAAAAGTTGTTATTTTTGTTTTCAAAATTCCAGTGTTTGATTTTCGAATGCCTGCTTTCAATATCAGCTATTAAAATCTGTTTTTTTCTACAGAGTTTCAAAAATTGAGATTTTCGGGGGTACGACTGTCGAACTGTCCCAAATTGGAACGCTGTTAGCCGCCGAGCGCGCTTGCATTATTTTTCTTTTCTCATTGTTTTCTTCGCAAATTTTGAATTTGATCGAGAATTTGAAGAGAAA